TTTATCGAGTAGAGCGTTGAGCTAATTTGAAAATTTAATTTTTAATTTTTAATGTTCATTTCTTTTTAGTCTGCGACATCCAACTTTTTATTTCCATATCGTAAGCGAAGGAAGTATTGTATAGTTGTGGAAGTTTCATTTTACCTTATAAAATTTTATTGGCGATAACGAGACGGACAGTAAGGAATATTTATGGCTCACACCAGTTCACCCAAATTTGTCGGAGAACATTTAGCAGGTAGTTGTACCTATAAAATAATGGTCATTTTCATTCGTGAGTAACGATTATTCTGTTTTGTAACATTTGGGGATTACCGGCACGCGACAACTTTAAGTTGTAAATATCTCTTGCTATATAAAGTGGTCTTTTGTTTCCGTTTGTCTGTCGTCACTGTCGATTTTTATTAGATCTCTTAAACTACTGGACCGATTATTGCGAAATTTTATATGCATTTTTTCGGATACTCTGTCGATGGTAAATTGCCTACCAAAATTTATCTAATCATCCATACCAAAAAATTTATAACGTCCGCTGATTGTATTGGGTACTTAAGGTTATTTAAATTTTTGAAATAACATATGCCTATACTCGTGGGTTATGAATCTCCCATGCTTTTTATCACAATTTCTTTACAAAAAATTTTTTGTGCAAAATTTTCCACCTGCTTTACGCATGCGATATCTCGCTTCTGAGCGGTGCGGTTTAGAATCCCATCCTTAGTGAGAGTTTTTTTTTGCATTGTGACTTGTATTATCATTATTTTTTACTTATAGGGGTTAGCATAATAGTTATTTATGTATTAAGGGCATAATTAGGGAGATTATAGCACGAGGGAATGTTTAAAGTCCGACGAAGGAGGGTTTTTAATTTCCCGAGGGCCACAATCCACAATTATGCCCGTGGTACATACAACGTTTTTCTCTATTTTAGTTTCTAAAATATTTTTAACGAAATTTTGAGGATTTCCGGCAAGATTGTGTGAATTGTGCCGATGCTAACTTTAATACATAGCTGGCTATTATTTTAATGTTGTTATGGATACCCCGTTGTTTATTTGTTAAATAATTAGATTTTCAAAATGCAAACTGAAGAAGCGGAGAACATTTATTAAAAAAAAATTTTAGAAGAATTTGAAGTTGGTGAGGAAATGATTTCATGGAATATTATTTTATTAAATTCATAACTTTAATAAAAATGTTAAATATCGAAGCTTGTTTGAATAATTAATTAATGTAAATGAGTCGTTGCTTAGCAATTTTTGACTGATTTGTGCCATAAAGGTCAATTTATGCCCGCATTTGGGTGCTTGTAAACAAGATTATGATTCTAAAATATGTAGAACAAGTAATATAAATAAAATTTTTCAAAATCATATTTTATAATTTTTCAAAAAATCTGTATTTGTTCGATTGAAGTTCTGTTTAAATAACTTTACACTATTTTTTTAATAACCTAAATAATTAATATACCTTAATATTTTCAAACATGATTTAATACTTGCAATAAAATTTTCTATTTAATTATTATTTTCGTGTAGAAGAAATTTAGTTTTTAAGTTTAAATCCATAACAAAAGTTATGAAAATTGTTAAACTTGCTAACAAAAATTTTGACCTGAAGCAACTAAGTTTGTATATGCAAATGACTGTGTTAATAAATTCATCACAGTTGTTCTGACAAAAAAAAACAAATAAATTTGTACCACTTTTTAAAAAAGTGTTCCTGATACATCAATGACTTTAGAAAAAATGTTTCTATAAAAATCTCAAAAAAGCATAGGATGTCATTAAAAAAAAAACGCGTAGAGTAGAAAAGATGAACTTTAGGTCCCTACACATTGATTTTTCAAATCAGATCGTAATATATTTAAAGCGATTTAATTTAGGTGTCATACCATGCTGTTCTCGAAAAAATAAGGTAGTTACAGGCCTGGGCTTTTTCCGGACATACTGTGTATATGTATAAAAATTGTCTACAGACCATTTAGATCTCAAGCGTAAGCGAAGGAAATATTGTAATAGAGTCTCATCAGACGACTGGGTACTTTTGTGCTTTCGCAACGTTTCATGGCTCCCAGAGTACGAAAAAAGTGGTCCTCTGTTTCCGTATGTCTTTGTATTCATGTCGATTTTGATCCGACAGATAATCTCCAAAACTACTGGACCGACTGTTGTCAAATTTTGTATGCATCTTAGAAATGCATATCATGTGAATGGTAAAACGTCAACCAAAATTTGAGTAATCATCCCCACTAACAATTTGGTGACGTCATCTCAAAGGAATCTAAAATAAAATTATTTAAATGTTATATACGAATCCGCTTTGAAAATTAACACAGTTTAATAACATTTTATCATTAACAGAAGATGTAAACATCCCTGGACTAGCCGGTAATAATGATAAAAAAAGAATTGTAACAATAATATGCAGAGCATTTCAATCGATTGTGCATTGCAATTAATAATTTTAGTCCTCTGTTTTGAGGAGACAAAATCATTCAAATCAAACAAATTTCTACATAAACACTCGAACGTAAGCATGTTATTATTGTTCAGATACGTTTTTCCCGTTAGTTAGTTCTTTATATAGGTATATTTTACATTGGCCGTACTTGCGCGAACCGCATCACCTTGGAATTTGCTCCCCCACAACGCAGGGGTTATCACAAAATAAAAAGTACAAAATCAATTTTTTTTAATCATTCAAAGAAGATGAATTTGTTGCATTTGTACTTCAGACGCAAGGGAAGTTCTGTCAAAATAAACTTCGACCAATTTTTCTTCAATTTAATAGTGTTATATTTCTGAAACTGAACTTTACATATAAGTTAAACATTGATTCATTTTTTTTTAAGAGGAACCTCAAGTCCATATCGACACCTTAGATATCGTACTTACATCCGTCTGACTTTACGTCTCATTATTTTCATTGTTACGCACATTTTTCAGTAGGATTTCAAGTATTCCCCTCAGAAGTTAAGATCACCTACTTACTTATATTATATAAATTTTAAAATAAACTATAAAATTCACTATTTTTAGAGTTTTCTTTTTTAAACAACTTGTCTGCGAATATTGAATTTTAAATCACAATTAAAATTTATTAACAAAATTCGAGATGGCCTCTTTGGTTACTTCAGAAGGATGAATAGAAAAGTTTTAATGAGCGTTTTACAATTTCCCTACAATATTAAAATAATATTCTTATATTATATTTTTCCACCAAAATCAAGATAATGACCAAATAATCCTCTATTTACATAGATAATATTCAAAAAACTTTGGATTATATACCCTTTTTATTATAATATAAATTTAAAAATTCGACGAGTTTATTTATTCATACTTATTAGTAGTGAACGGTACATTTTTCCAGTTATTAAAAGGTATTGGAGAAATACATACGTATTATGAGAAAGAAACAGACTCCTTAATTCAATTACAGGTTTTTTTTTTAATTTACCCTTTGAAAAATTTTGTTTGCAATATTACTCCATAGCGCTTAATATTTGTAATATTTACACCAGCATCCGCAAAAAAAGTTGCCGAGGACCTACGTAGGCAGTGACCAGTGTATCCATTAGCAGTAGGTAAACCCAAAAAAGTGGCGCCCATATCTGGCATTTTTAGAAAGCCGTTCTTCCTAGTTTGTTATGCAGTACATATTTCTGTTCTGTACAATAAAAAAAAAACAGGATGATTAATACCACAGGGAAATAGACCAGCATATTTACGGTATAAATGAAACATATTATCCACGCTGCCTTCATTATTCGGAGTTTTATTCTTTGTGTTGTAAAAATATTGATGATTAACGAGGTTCCCACGTCTTCAGTATCATCAACTTTCAAGAGTACGAGTTCATCTGCCCGGCATGACTCAACTACGCTCAAATTCCTGCAACCTACTAAGTATTGGAATATTAATATGTCTCAAATTCATGATTTTTGCTTGATAGCTCTGAGTTTATTTTCAAAAATGCTTAGATTTGCTCTTTTATCAGTAGGCCCAAATAATAGAACATCTTTGCTTTTAATTTTTGTATTGTAATATGGTCCATTTAGGGTATAACTAATTCCATATGTTGTCGACGTTTCATATCTATTAGAATATGATAAAGTAGGTCCCGCGTTCAGTCTGTCTGTGGTTTGCGCCTGTCGATGTGATATTTTGGATAGATTTTATTTCAAAAAACTTTACACTTTTTCAAACGTGGTTAGTTATACAAATTTTACTCCTCCTATGTTTTGTCATGGAGTTCAAAGATTACTACATATAGTGGTTTCTTAATTTCTTAACTCCGTGGAAGGTTTACCGCTCTAGTTTAATGATGTCAGGAAAAATCATACATTTGTCTCCTGACATATTTCTCGGATCTACGTCTCCGAAAAAAAAAGAGGATTTTGAATAGTTATTTTTCACATTAATAGAGTTATTATTCAGTACATGCAATACAAGCTTTTTAGTGTTGACAGAAAATCACCAAGGTACTCTAATAATTTACCCTTTACCGGTATTAGCGTCATAGCTGACAAGAATGTAAGTTATTATGTAAAAATACCCATGATAACTCGGCGTCACGTTACCACAAGCTTCCTTATCTCTTCAAAATCTAACAAAGGCTAATTTATATGGCGGTCTAATTTAAATATTCAGTACTAAGCATAGCGTAGCGTCTGTCCCGCATGTTATTTAAATGCAGCGTAATACAATCTCAATCAGCATCAAGTGTCGTGCATAATCCAGGCGAACTAAACTTGGCATGGCATTTGGACATTATGTAAATGCGGCGGCCCTCGACAGATGGCGACACAAAAACTCGCATGGTCGTCTATTAAATACATATCTGGAAGTTCCGGATAATGGTCCGCTTGGCCGTAGCATGTAATTTCCAAGTTTCCAGCACAAAAGGTGCCAACTTTGGCCCACCGATACCTCTATTACTAAATCTTTTGTACCGACCTGTAATTCAGGGTTTAAACGAAAATTTCTCTTTTTCAGATCCGGGGATGATACACCTCTGAGGCCGTCGTCGTGAATGTGAGTATACAATTATGGGAGAAGAGGTGCTTTAAAAGCGTCGGTATTTTTTAAATTTTGTATGAATAACTCTCGGCTGCCGGCGTTTTTTTAATTATCGGATCTCGTGTCACAAAGAAGTTAAAAGGGGGTTGGTGTCTGCACTGTGGAGCGTCTCAGACAGATGGGGATTGACTGGGGGACCATGTGTATTGTGCTGGCACAAGATAGCGTTTTTAAAAAGGGTTCGCACAAACACGAGTTAACTTTTAAAAAGCTTTTAATTCATGTAGGGCTTAATATTCTGTTTGATTACCTTGTCAACGCACGCCGTATACCATTTTTGACACAAGCTAATTCGTTTAGCTGCGGCGGCTATAAATAATTTTTTTGTGAGCGGGCGGGCTAAATTACATTTTACCTATATACTGGGTGATAAATCGCCCGTACGGCAGCCTTAATGTTATAAACGCAAAAGCACTTTAACCAAAATACACCAATTCTATTTTTCTTTAAAGAATTCACAGTTAATTAAAAACTCACAAAGAACACTTTTGTTAGATTTTCTACAACGCAAATACTTTATTTGTTTTTAATTATCTGATAGCTGCTAATAAATTAACAAAGGTCAACTATCATCTTGTAAAAAACGCTTAATTTAATTTAAAATTCTTCTACGCAATTATTTCCTCAATAATGTAAACAAGGTGAGCTATCCGCGTACTTTCATCTCTGTTATATCCCGATAAAAAGAAATTTTTATTTGTTTTGTAACCTCGTTATAACAAAAACGCCGGGTAACTTTTACTCCGGTGCATTTATAAATCTTAAAAATGTCTAGAATTTAATGAAAATATCTCTGCTGAAATATGACAGGTATTTTCTCATGAAACTAAAGAAATGCATTTGTCTTGAACTATTTATAAGTACAAAAAGCTCTCTGTAGCAAGATATGATAAATATGATGAACGAGATCCCGTCAAAGCTACTCGTACTACCATCAGCATACATAAATTAGAATCTTGCCGAAAGAAGAGACATCGCTGAAAAGCACCTTATAAAAAATTAACTTCATCAAACAATAATTTCCATCAGCTAGAGAGCTGCAGTTACACAAAAGTTGTCAAATTTTTTATGATACTAAATAAGCTAGTAAACGGCAAATTCGTGACAAAAATCAGATTGATACGAGAAGTCTAATTGTTCCACAATTGTGCCAGTTTCTGTGATGTTACAAAAATGTCGTCAACTAAATGGTCCAGATTCAGTTAACCGAAATTTCCGAATATGTCTTTGTAGAATTATTTTTAAAACCAAATAATTTTAACAAACGTTTGTTACAAAATGCATAATCATAATTTATTCGCTTGAAGAAGCCTTTGTTTGTGGTCAAACATGCACTCTCTGCTGAATGTATGCATGGATGCATATTTAGAGAGTTACCATCCTTCAGGTTTAACGTAATTGGATTATTTTAAAAATAAATCAGGTAATGGCAGCACTTTGCGTCAGAGTGGTTATGTATAAGTTTTTCCAAAGTCACGTTTGAAGGATATCTGACCTTCTGACTTAAAAAGATAAAATATCCTAGTAATTTACCGATGATTTCAGTATACGTTGTACATCATAGTAATAAAATAACGCACTAAACACTAAAATTCTACTTACCTCTCTCTCTACACACCATATATTGATCACTATCTTGATTAATCGGTAATAAAGGATGGTTTTGTTCTGTCAAATTGATCACTCATGTGAAAGTACAATATGAGGAGATGAATTATTTTTAAATTAGAAATCGAAGTCTAGATACAAAGAAGAAGATTTATTACACAGTTTGTAATCTTTTTGACATTTGAAGATGTTTTATGACAAAAAAGAATTATATAATTCAGAAATCAAAATCCTGCACCCCAATATATAATATAACATTATTATTTATCACCATTACCCCACTTTTACTTCGTGAACGTAAGTTAAGGAATAATAATAATCGAGTCCATTGGACGAATGGCCACTTCTATATTTTCTCGACGTTTCATGACCCCTAAAGTACGAAAAAGTAGTCTGCCATTTCCGTTTGTCTGTATGTCTGTCGTCTGTATCGATTTTTATTAGACACGTAATCTTCAAAACTGGACCGACTGTTGTCAAATTTTGAATGTATATTAGGACATGGTAAAACGCTACAAACCATTTTTTTTTTCTAATCATCCCGTCAAAATTTTTCGTAGTAAGTACTTAAACTGCACAAAATAACATACTTCTGTACTTGTTTATGAATCAGATTTTTCCCAAGGCATCCAAATTTTCGCAAAAAAATCGAAATTGTACAGAAATCGTTTATGTATACCAATATACCGGGTGTCTGGAAAATGGCGGATTAACTCTCGGCTACGCTTTTAACATTCAACTGGTGAGTGTGGGAAATATAGTAAAAAAAATCCTTCTCACATTTTGTTGGAATTATCAAAAATTGTCAATGTTTTCAAAACCGTACATTTAAAATGTTCCCAGTTAAATTTTAGGTCCCCTGGTGTTTTATTTTCGGATAAATTTAAATGAATCGGGTGCTTTTATTGTTTTATTTTTTAGAAATTTTAAAAAAGTCTTGAGTGTTGCAGTGTTTGTCTGATTTTGGACCATAGGGATTTTTTTTTGTAAAAATTTAAAACAATCTTGAAGTTCTAGGTGTTCCTGTTTGGAAAGAATTTGAAAATACTTTGGAGCCTCTAGTGCCTTTTCTTATAATAATTTAATTTAATTTCTTACAGGATACGTCATTGCTAAAATCAGCCGTATCTTAGAAGGTACTAGCCCCGCCCACCCACCCTTTCTTCTCTTAGAGGGTACGTCATTTGCCAAAATCAGTTTCATCTTAGCAGGTACTCGCCCCACCCATGTTTCCTAGAGGGTATCTTATTTGTCAAAAATTAGTCTTATCTTAGCAGCTACTAGCCCCGCCCACCACCCTCTCTGTCCTAGAGTGTATGTCATTTGCCGAAATGGGTCTTGCTCTCCCCACCGACCCTCGCTTTTCTTAGAGGATATCTCATTTCCCATAATCAGTCTTATCTTAGCAGCTACTATCCCCGCCAACCCCCCCCCCCCTTTCTTTTCTTAGAAGGAACTCCAGATTGACTGATTCAGCAACGCAGGGCCGAAACTACTTAAATCAGAACCACGAAATTTGGACAGTGGGTTCATTTTATGACCTAGGTGAGCAATAAGAAAGAATTTTTGAAGATTTCACCTTTAATAAGGGTGTGAATTAGAGGATGAACTTTACTTGGTTAAAAGCACCCAATATCATTAGTTATACAGATATAAGATTATAAGACCAAAATTGTACGGTTGTTCGACGACTATACTTTTATTATTTTGAACTATACAGAGTGTTTTGTTGTTAAGGCGTAACACACAACTTCGTTCTTTTATATGAAACATCGTGCATATTTTACATAATGTTAACTAGGCCTTTTCTCAGGCTTTACAACTACTATAAGATTTATTTTCGACGTTGTCACGTTGTTCCAATTTTCTTGACATTTTTTAGCAGTGGAAGGGTTCACAAAAAAATACTTTGTTAAGAGACACATCAACAAATTACAAGAATGAGAACCAAAATTAGAGTAATACAGTAATAAAATGCAGAATGTTCTATTTGAAAAAACTGAAGTATCAATATTTGAAAATTGTAAAGTTTTAGAATTTTTTATAAACACTCCGTATAGTAGAATTTGATTTAATTGATACCACAAAGTCCGTACCTTTGTTTATCCTTCCATAAAATATTCTAACACATACTTAAAATATAACCCTACAGCGATTTTTTATGTGAACCCCAAAAAATTAAAAAAAACTGGGACCACGTGGCAACGTCGCATCGCAATTTCAAAACTAAATGTAGTTACAGAACCTAAAAAAACTAAAATATGTGCTACATCTTAAAAATAGAACACTCTGTATAGTTAAAAATAGTTTTAGACTATGATTCTTAAAGAACCGGACAACTTTTGTTTTGACTTTTTGTTTCGTCTCTAATAAATAATGAGATATCGAGCACCGTGCGGTTAGCGACTCACCCTGTATAAATAATGAAACACGTTCTCATAATGTTTTAATATTCGTCCCTTAAGGGTGTAAAATCGGGAATGAAATGTGAGGTTGAAACATCAAAATGTTTGTGGTTATTTTGGTGGAAAATACTTAAATATAAGGGGTGTTCAGTTGAAAAATCACTCAGAGTAGGCGTTGGAATATCATTTGACAGAAACGGCATGTCTGTTCTTATAACATCCATTTGGCAGAAACATAAACTGCTGTATGTTATGTTGTAAGAACAGACATGCCATTTCTGTCAAATGATATTCCAACGCCTACTCTGAGTGATTTTTCAATTGAACACCCGTTATATTACTTATCTATATTTGTTTTAATGTGTAGAGGTTATCACAAATAAAATTTCGCAAAGTTATTTTTTTTAATTTTTCAAAGAAGTGGGATTTGTTGGACTGTACTTCAATGGCGAGGGAAGTCCTGTCGAAGTAACCTTACACCAATTTTTTTAATTTCTTCTGTACACTCACCGAATAAGACAAAAGAGACGAACTCCTAAAGTACTAATGGCATTATCTGCAAATTGAAATAAATCCATGATTCTTCAAGGGAAGCAATAAATCATTGACATAAATTAGAAAAAGTAGCGGTCCAAGTTTAAACCCTTGAGTCTTATATAAATATACGCCACACTCTCTGAACTATTGCGCCCTATTTGTATACATCTAGCGACTAAATTCACTTATTAAAGTTGCTACTTGTTGTATTGATCTACTCATAAAAGTTCTAGTGAACTAGTCTAAAGGATGAATACGTTATCTTAAATTGGTCCACATTACAATGTAAACAAATGTGAAACTTTAAAAACTGAAAAGCTGTGTTTACAGAGCGTTCTGTATTTCTGGTCGTAAAAAGGATGGAAGCAGTTGAAAATCGCGAGCATTTGTTTTTGGGAAATACAGGGCTAATTTTTTTTTTTAATAGCACTAGTAGTCAAATGTTCTGTTTTTAAATAGTGCATTTTTTTTGAATTCAGAAATGTGACGCACTCATTATTTATTTTTTCCCAACATGGTAAAATAAAGTGTCAAAATAAAAATACTGAAAATCAGAAAATCGTAGCTACCCTTGACAATACTGTCACCTACCATAGTTCTAGCCTAGCACACTTTGTTCAAAAATTGTAAAAATGATAGAACTGAGGATATATAAACAAAATTAAAGGTGCGTAATAGCGTAACAGATTGATTTAAGTATTAAAAATACTCCTCCACTTATTCCTGGTAGTGGTAAATACATTGCACAAAGTTTTTATGAATTTTTTAGAATATTAGGAGGAATATCAGCAGTCACATTTAATATTCTTTCTTGGAGTTTTTTAATGATTTGTGGTCTATTAATATAAACTCGATTTTCTACATAACCGCACAGAAAAAATTCAAGTGGGGTTAAATCGCCGGACCTAGCTGGTCACTCAACTGCTCCTCTTTGTCCTATCCACCTTCAAGGAAAAGTTTCATTCAAGTAATCCCGTACTTGACATCCGAAGTGAGATGGTGCTCTTGTTGGAACCAAATGAACTCTGCAGGTAAATTTGGGTTTTAGAGTTGGGAAATATTTGACTAAGTTTTTGAAACCGTCGACCTAGAGACTTGTTCTCGATTGGGATGAGTTTCATTCAAAAGTCCTGCTACCCTACCATCATAAAGATTTCTATTCGTTCAATTTCTGATAATGGTAATATTTTAGTGTTTTATTGAAATATTTTTTTTTTGCTTTTCAGTACACACTGACAAATAGATGACAGTATGTTCAAAACTAACTACAATCGTCTGTTTTAGAATTTATTCATAATAAATAATAATTTATCATTTTATGTCCGTTTTAGTTAAAAAAGTGTATGCATGTGTTACAGTTCTGATTTCAGAAAAAAAATTCTGTTCAAAAATTGACGATTTGACTAGTGATGATATTTAAAAAAAATCAAGGTAGTTTTGCGTCTTGGAAACAAATGAAGTTTAAAGTTTAAAAAAATTATAGAAAATAAAGCTTGAGAATTTTTAAGTATAGCCAAAATTTCAACAAGATCCAAGTAACCATTCCCGAGATAATCAACTAATTCCGTAGTTTTTAGCAACCCTGTATGACGTAAAATTTTTTGACTAGTGAACTACATCCATAATTAGTGGATTTCCTGTTGTTCCCATCTCCAGATTAAAATCAATAGTTTCCCGGTACTTATATAAAAAATGTGGGCCAAAATGTGCCGTTAATGCCTTTCTTGTCGTAGCATTAATTATTCAACACAATCTGTTGATTACTTTTTCATGATTTGTAAAGTCCGCAGTTGGGAAACAAGGTCTCATTTTCGGCAAACTGCCTCGCATCTGATTAAAGGCATCCTAGATGCGTAAACTCTCACCAGATGTATAAAACATTGTCACTTCCTACCCTTTCGGTGAAGGGTGTCGCCCCAACATATTCCGCACATGCATATTTCATGCCCCCGTCCCTATTAACTGTGAATTATGGCTAGGCCACAATTATTCAATTACGACAGTGCCCTACCTTGTTGGGATGGCACATGTGTGCCACCACCAGGTACACAAATATATGGACCGCCTCTACGGCATTCGCGGCGGCTGATTAACACCCCATTTTCCGGGCTTGATGACTTCATTAAGGGCCCGCGGAAAAATTAAACAGTTTGCGGAAAAGGGGATGAATAAGTAATTAGTGGTGCGCGGAAGAGCGCGGATCCTGCGAATATCGGGATGATCAGGAACACGTGTCGGCGTTGCCGGCCGACTCTTCTTGACTAGTAGATATAAATAACTTATATTGAGGAAATGCTCTGGTTCTTATATGTGTGCTATGATGCATGACCCAGTGTACCGCCTCCGCTTCTGACGTGGCGTCTAAAGATTGGTCTATCCATCTTCCTGAATTTTTCGCAGTTTCATTACAAGTTTTGCATCTCGAGGATTACGCGCTTGACGGTAACTCTCGCGGAACAGGCTGAAACATGTCCGTCCATTTTTTCGCGAAAATTAACGTTTGGAAATTGCATAAAGTTTAACCTACGTCAACAAATATGCGGTAGAGTTCTAGTGCGAGAGAAGTTTTCAAATAAATGATGGTTTTTACTGTTATTAGTAGGTACTAGAATCCGGTTGGTATACCTACATTTATTAATATGATGATTGAATCCTATATGATCTGCACAAATTGAGGCAATTAAAAGCGATCGACGCGAATTCGCTTTTGCGTATTTTGCATATTTTTACATATTTCTCGAATTTTGAAGAGTTTTTTGATTTTAGACTTCAAACAAGAAAATAATGCATGACTTCAAAATGTTAATCGATTTGGAGAAAAAAACACTGAAATTTTCAATTTGTTTCAGTAAAGCTAGTTATGAATTTGTCCTCAAAATAATTTTAGATATTGAAGCTGAATTTCTGTAACTAACATTCCGTTAGTCTGGTAAATAAATTTCACGTTTTGAAACTTTTTTAGGCATTTTTTTTTGTTAAAATCCATGCATGTAATTCCTGACTCTGGTTATTACTTACAAGCACGCACTCGCAATCTCAGATATCTAATTATAGTAATGTATAGAGATTAGTAGTGCTTTTTTAAGGTATTTAAATATTTTATCAGATAATTTCGTACAAAGAACACTGTTTTTCAAATAGCACAAGGACGTAACCAATCCTATGCAATAAATTAAAATACTTAGCTATTACTGACAAAATCAAATGTCCAGACAGTTAACTAATAGTATATTTTTACACACCAAAGTTTCGACTGTGGTGATTTTCAAAGTTATAAAGTATCTTGTAAGTCACTAGTGTTTAAAAGGTCAGTGATAATAATTATTAATACAGATCTCGAAACAAAGATCTCTTAAATCGTCAACTGTCAACTTAATTAGTTCAAACTCAAATTAAGAAACTTAAATAAAATCGTTATCGTCAAGTAATGTCCTCTTTTCATGGCTCTAGCCGTTGAATGTTTAAATCATTTTGAAGATAGGAAATTAAGTAGTTCCTTATTTCGATGACAACATCTTTGCCCGCCTTAAAAATACTTCTTATAAAAGAATAAACTGTGTCCTCTTCTTAATTTTTTAAGGTTTATGATTTTTTTTGAGAATCTCTTTTGTAGTGTTGCTTGTTTGCTTTTTACATGCAACATACTTGCATGTAAATACATAATATCGGAAGTTTTCGAAAACAATTCGTTTCACGTTGTTAGTTTTCGTTGCGTCCAGATCTAAGCTGAATTCTTGCGAACAAATCGATCACTTCCTGGGGGGACAGCAATATATTAAGGTTTCGTAAAATTGATTGCCGCGTTGATAAAACATTTGTTGATTTACTTGTAAGGAGTGAGACGTGAACAGTGAAATGCTATAAATTATCGACTGAAATATTGTAGAAAACTATAAATACAACGTTTTAAAGAACTTTCCAAGGATATTCCAATGTCCCAAAAACAAGTAAAAAAGTTACGAAAAGTGTAGTCGTTGGTTTATTAAAAAAACATACGAGCACGGTATAAACAGACTGCTGTTGCACCAGTTTTCCAACAAGCAAAATATTATTCTTTCACTGAAAATGTGTGTACTCATTCAAGACAATTTTACAATATACTTACATAAAATTTAACATTTAAATATTTTTACTTCCCGAGCATAAGCTAGAGGATTGTAATAGGGTTCAAGCAGCCTAAGGCCAATTTCACGTTTTCTTGACGTTTCATGATCCCTAGAGTATGAAAAAAGGGGTCTCACATTTCCATCTGTCTGTTTATGACGACTTTTATTAGACAGATAATCTCCGAAACTTTTATATGTAGGTATTTTAGGAGGAAGCTCGTTCAGATGACAAAACTCTAACCAAAATTTATCTAAATATCCCCACCAACAATGTGATGACGTGTTCAAAATCTTGCTCAGTAAATGCTAAGTTTCATAGAATAACATACTTTAACACGACCGACGCCGTACTATATATAGTGAACCAAGAGCTATAAGGTTATATGGCCATCACAAAAGTAGTTGACCGCAAATAAATACCCCCTTTGTGTGGTTCGCACTAAGCTTACCGGTTGGCAATAAATCATCTTCTAAACATTTCTTGCTCATATTTAACAGGGCCGGCTTTCAAAGCGAGTGGTTATTTCGGAACCCTCAGCGGCTGCAGGTAGTAAAGAAATAGTGGAGTGGTGGATTTTCATATTTAGTGAAAGCCGCCCCTGAACGAAACCACAAGAGCCGGTCGAGCTGCAGTGGACACGTTATTTACGACCCTAAAACCTTTTCTATTGTAAACAACTTAACTTCGACACAATGGGATGATTTTATGATGGCCATATAACCTTATAACTCTTGGTTCACTATATGTATATTTTGAACCACGAACTTTATATATTCTTAACGCTATACTTTATAAACGACAAACGCCATACTTTATAAGTAACGGACGCCATGCTTTGTTAATTCTGTACCTACTTGAAAAGGCGTGCTTTATTATAAGCGACCAATGTCGTAATATTAATTTACATTATAGAAAGGAAGTTCTGTCTAATACCTTGCGGCATTTTTTTTTTTTTTTCGTGAAGGAATCTTGACTGTTTTGACCCAAAATTTTATATAAGTATCATCAGTTAGGTAAATTTACGCCGAAAGTAGCAGTAAATTTATGATCCTCGACATGATAAAGGTCCATACAATAATTATTTATTCTACACCTACATTGTTACTTGTAATCGAGTCCGTCAGCCGACTCTACTTTTACGTTTATCGATCTTTCATGACCTCTAGAGTACGAACAACTAGGTCTCCCGTTTTCGTCTGTCTGTCTGTCCGTCTGTCCGTCTGCCTGCCGTCCTGATTTTTATTAAACATACAATCTCCGAAGGTACGGGCCGATTGTTGTCAAATTTTGTATTTATTTTAGGAATATCATGTAGATGCTAAAACGCTAACCAAAATTTGTCTAATCATCGCCACCAATAATGTGATGACGTCATTTCAAAATTGTACATAGAAAATGAGTTTTAAATTGTATAAAATAACATAGTCCTACACACGTACTTTTTACCCAAAACGTCCAATTTTTTGCAAAAAAATTGAAATTACAAAACAATATTTTGCAATTTAATTTTGAATCTGCCACACTGAATGCTTTGAAATCTTGCAGATATTTTATATTTATGGTAACCATTATAAATTTTTTATCAAATTGTAATTGCTTATGCCCTCCAAAAATTGATGACGTCATCTCGAAATTTTTCCGGATAAATCCTATCTAAAATGTGCACAGTGCGTGATTTAGCACTGCATTCATATCTTGTAAATTTGCTTAAACAAGGTTACTCAAAAAAATTAATGAATGCGTGAATTTATGTTATTGATTTAATCAGGAACTGCAAAATCGAATCCTTTAAAATCTTGGAGATGTTTTAAAGTTATCATACGCATGGTAAATTTTTGATCAAAATGTATTTGCTCATCTCCAATAAAAAATTGATGACGTCACCGCAAAATATAATCTTAAATGTGCAAAATATGATGAGTTTATACTTGTGATTTATTTTTAATATATAATTAATATATTTTTTAATTTTCATTATACAGGGTGTCTCATAAAAATTAATGACTGAGTTGTTAAAAAATAAATATCCAACCAGATTTAGGAATTTAACTCGTTACTATGGAAATATGAAATTTAACAATTTTTAAATTTAACAGTTTTTTATAAGTTTAATCGAGGTAAAATCAGTTTTAACTTAGTAAGTGCTAGCCCCGCCCACCGGCCCCCTATTTTCTCAGAGTTTATGTCGTTTGCCAAAATAAGTTTTACCTTTGCAAGCACTACCCCCACGCACCCGCCCTCTATTTTCTCAGAGGGTATGGGGTTTGCCAAAATCTGTCTTTTCTGAGCAAGAGCTAGCCCCGCCCACCCGCCCCCTATTTTCTCAGAGGATATGTCCTTGCCAAAATAAGACGCATCTTAGCAAGTACTAGCCCCGACCAGTCACCTTTTATTTTCTCACAGGGTAGTATTTGCTAGTAGCAAATGACATATCCTCTGAGAAAATAGGAGGCGGGTGGGAGGGGATAGTACATATTTGGTAAGATAAGACTGATTTTGGCAAATGCCATATCCCCTTGGAAAATAGGGGGCGGGTGGGCGGGCCTAGTATTTGTTAAGATAAAACTGATTTTGCCCCTGTTAAATTTGTAAAAACTTGTGAAATTTAAAGGTGTTAAATTGCAATTTTCCATAGTAATTCCTAATTCTACCCGAAATGTGCAAAATATGATGAGTTTTTACTTCTGATTTATCATTGCATACATATTTTGTATATTTGGGTCAAAAAAAATTAATGGATGTGTGAATTTATTTTATTGATTCAATTAGGAACGGCTCATTCCATTTACCCAGAAAATTTTGGGAATACAATACTGTTATCTTTAGTATTACACTGCACCAATCCAAGTTGATATACGTGTCCTTGCAAAATTGTTGATCATGTCATCACAAAATTCTGTAAAATAAAAACTCAACTCAAAAGTGCTGGATATGTTTCACTGCAGTTTAGCTGCCAGAGAAGTTCTGTCGAAACAGCTTTCGACCAATTTATTTTTTGATGAATTTGAAAAATGTTATTGCAACAATTTTCTACACTCTTGACAAAAAAGACAATAAATTGGTGGACAGAATTTCAACAGAACTTCCCTCGCACCTGAAGTACAATGAAACATATCCAGCATTTTCGAGTTGAGGTTTTTCATTATACAATTTTGAGATGACGTTATCAGTTTTTTGGGGAGAATAAACAGATACATTTTGATTAACAATTTACCATGATTGCAATAGCTTTGAAACGTCTGGAAGATTTCAAAGTATTCAGTTTTGCAAATTTTTTCCAAAAATCTGGACGTTTCGGGTAAAAAACCCATTTACTATGTCCAATTCTGAAGTGACTTCATCACATTATTGGTGGGGATGATTAGACCAAATTTTGGTTAGTGTTTTACCATATACATGATATTCCTAAGATAAATGTAAAATTTGACAATACCCAGAACTTTCGGAGATTATCTGTCTAATAAAAATCTGGACGGCAGACGTACAGATAGACAGACGGAAACAGGAGACCTATTTCTTCGTACTCTAGGGGCCATGAAAGGTCGAGAAAACGTAAAAGCAAAGAGTCGGCCGACGGATTCTATTACAATGCTTCCTTCGCTTACGCTCGGGAAGTAAAAACATAAACTTAGTAGGTTCATAATCTTATTCATCTTAGTAATTATTTCTGAGCTAGGTATCATATCTCTATTTTGATTCCCTCATTTCCATACTGTACTAAACTCTGAGACAGCATGAAAATATGGTACATTTTCCGATTAAATCTATTGAGGGTTATTATAATGATAATTTTACTTGACAGATTTTCTCCTTGCACGCAGGAACTTTAACAAAACGCTAGATTTTACTCATGTCGTATCAGTAATTTCATACCACAGATATTTTTTTTAATTCAGAAACTCACTAGTCATTTTCATAAGAATTAAATTTTGTACAAGAGAAGGTTAGTTTTGGTTGATCAACTTGTAAATAACGCTATATTTTTTCACTGCTTAATCAAAACAGAAACTGCGAGCTAAAACAACTTGATTTGAAACTAAAAGCAAACTTTAATGATAACAACAGAGGTTATTGTTCACGGGAAAAGTTATAATAAAAGGTGTAGTTACCGTTAGGAAATATACACAGTTAGTTGTTCTTTATTCTTGTTACTATTTAAGGTGATAGAAAATTTGGTTTCAACTAACCCGTCGCATCCACCAAAAATGACAGTGTTTCAAATTATTTCCTTAAATATTTTCCAAAAAATAATTGCAATTGAGAAACAAAATATATTTTAGTTAATGGAAATATAAGTAGGTTTATACATGTTCCAGAAAAAATATAGCACCAAACAAGGTATTGTGAAAACTAAATTTCAAACTTTGTTGTCAAGTTCTAGACGAAGTAAGAATAAATAGAACACATATCTAAATCTCAAAACGGAACACTGATGTAGGGATAACAGCATATGAAACAGAATAAAACAAGTAAAATGAGATTTCGCTATGTAGATTGTAGATAATACATATAAGGCACTATAATTTGCAGTAGAGAATTAAATTTAATCACATTTTCTAAAATAAACACAACAATGCTTGTATTAAATTGACTTGAAAGGAAGACACATACATAATTACATAAAAAAAAATTACTATTAGCAAAAATGACAATTTTCCTGTAATGTCGACATTTTTCCAAAAAACATGTTTCTTTAACGTTTCATACTTGTACTAATTAAATTTTCATTTGTGTTATTAGAGCATAATTTGACATAACATCCACTAAATGAATGTTTTTTCTATACCTGTATAAAATGCTGACACTTTTTCTACCTGTTAATTCCTGTAACGACACCTTTTTGGGACGTTTATTATAGTTATAAATACGAGACAATATTCTAGAAGTCTTATAAAACTGATTCCTCTTTTCAAACTGGCGGTACTTTTTCATTGTTGTGTACAAAATTATCGACGTTTTACAGCTATCTGACAAGTGGTTGTATAATACAATTCAGTATTGCACCCACATGGTCGATTTTCTGCATTTAGAAGCTCAGTTCCAAAAAAATGTACGACTAGCACTCTGAAAATTGGCACCAATTTCAAATCACAGCAAAAAAAAATTATAAAAATTTCTTTCAATATTCTATCACTGTTGCAGAAAAAAGTATCCTTTTCTGGAATCTGTTACGTAAAATAAGTATCTATTATCATCCTCGACACTACTTTGCTAACCGGGCGCAAATATTTAGTTGGTAACAATCGTTCCAAAATTAGATTCGTAATGACTTAATAAATCTAAGCTAACAAATTGGAGCAAATATGAGCTACAAAAGTAGTATTATTTTTGAAGTCAGTAACCAAACGAAACAAGAACAAATATCAAAGGGAAGGGACACTTTTCTTTCTATTTGGTTTTTATTCGATCTTACATAGAGTCTTAAATATCGGATCTGGTCCAGAACGTAGCGGTGGGTGGCTGTAACCGAGTCCGGTCACGATGGTTCGTTCAACAGTCGAGGCATTTCCTCTGCACCTCCAAAGAAGCAGTAGATCGAATTATCGCTGGTATTGAATGTCGAGTACTTCTTAGAATGAGTATCAAGTACTTCGAATCTCAGTCTGTAATGAACACTTGGTATTCGGTGCTCACTTTTTCTGCCTCCTACCTGACAGACACACTTCTAAGAGAACGCACAAATCTCAGCAAGAAATTTAAATGCCAATAACACTGATAAATCTTCCCTTTCGCTCGCAGGGTATTTCCATAGAAAAATTTCCAACTTCCATTCCTAGCCAATTGTATGACGTTTAAATGGAGCGGAACCGGAAGATCATGGTCTAGTCAGCACGAAAAGACACGAGGATTCTTTCAGTCACCCGGTCTAAAACTTCAGATATATGGGATTACTTCAGAAAATCCGAACTTCAACAAACTCCCCAATTAAGTGACCTTTCCGCAATATTTTATCCCCCACGAAAAATTAATAGACACGCCATTAAATTTGTCAAAATTTAAAGCGAAATGGCTGCTGGTGATGTAATGCTCCGGATCCCGTACAAGCGCTGAAATATGCTTAAACTTCGCACAACATGGACTGTGCTATTTGACCAACTTTGACCCGGGATCAACACATTCAAAATAGTTTCGAACATGTAATTAGTTAATATGAAAATGTGGCAATGGCCAGTGTTGAGATTGATGTGTTATGTTCAAGTTCCGAGGGTGAGAAGACGGCGACGTCTTGCAGGCACGTAATAGACAGGGAGGGAATAATCAATATTTCAAGAAGGGCCCCAGGCTTGCTTCACCCCTGTCTCCAGAGACCACTGCGTTTGGAATACCGAACACTTTTTAATATTGATATAATGTATCCAGTTTCTATCACGTGCTGCAGTTTTAAGAAAAATAACGAATTTAGCGCTACGTCATTCACCGCTCGATGCCTTCTTTCGGCGCTCTTTTAGTCCTCTGTTAATAATTAATACAGTGAACGCTTACGCTACCATCTCAGTGCTTTTATCAAATGGGTTATCTAAATTAGAGCCGACGGATTAAAACACAATACTATTACAAAACAAATCTGTAAGGCACTCGGCTAAGAAGTTCAGCCGTGCCTCGCAAGGGGTCTGACCTCGTTTCAACCAAAGTATTAATCATTATCACAACGCCTCTTCAACAAACAAAAATCTGGATTCCATGTTTCCCATTAATTAGACGCGCTTTACCACTCTTAGTGGGGTTTAAGTCAAATCCAACAAGTAAATTGTACCACGATCTCGGTCCGCAAAGATTAATCCATTAAAAGTGCATTTCCATTAACAACGCATTTACATTCATTGCACGTTTAGCCATGATTAAGTACGCTCAAGAAAAAGCTTAATGCTGGAAATTTATTTTTGCAATTTAAAGTGGACTATTTGCAAACTCTAATTTTTGCAGTGGGCGGAGTAATTATTAAACATAATTTTGATGTTCCCTGAGGCCACCCTGTCTTAAAGAATGTTTCGTATTTAATTTAACGCGGAGGTGTGTGTGGATGAGCTCAAAACGAGTGAACATTCATCGAAATATACCGTTTGATACCTGTGGCAATCTCTTGATAATTAATTATCACGACTCTGGCGAGTTTTGCCTTGTCTGTGTTTACAAACCGCTCCTCGATGACGATAAGAGTGGGCTTGTTGTGCGTGTTTTTTTGTTACTTTTAATTAAGAAACTGTAATCAACGGGAATAATTTTATGCAAAAAGTACCGATAAGGATTTTGTCATGCAATGTGCGTATTAACTTGACTCATATAAAATAGACTCCCTTTGTACTTGATAGGATAAAAGATTTCGGTCTGACGATAAAGCGACTTTTGCAGGTTCACTGAATGTATTTTTAATCACGATTCTATTTTGATGGTTTTATATTTTTGTGTTTATAACCACACACAACACAAAAATGATATTAATATTTTTCATTAAAAATTAAAAACGTTAATTAAAACATCAGAATATTTAGATTCATGAAAATGTAATACATATTTAACATATCTGAAATAATTATCATTATTTTTAAAACAACATTTCATGAAGTCGACGTACAATAATGCAAATTATTTTCTATTTGTGTATCATTGTGTGTTTGGAAAATAAAATTATGTGTGTATAGCATTATTTTTGCTTTGTATATTCTAAATTCCAGTTCATCCATCTGTAACAATGTTTATTGATTGCATGCAAACCTTGTGGTGTTCAAAAACCGCAACTATTTTGCTATAAATTCATTAACGAAAACGCAACTTGCATGAAAACCACATGTAGAAGCGTTAAACTAAGTAATTAAATAACCCATCTAAATTTTGCAACTAAAGGTAATTTAGGAATGCGTACACAAATAATTCTAGATAAACAATTATTTTTACACGAAATCGCTTAAATAATAAATATAATAAGACATACACAGTATAGTTTTAATTTTAAATATCTATGTTGCAAATTTTTAAAACCTAAAATTGCGCCCGAAAAGATTTTCTCAATATTATACTAATTTTTGGAAGTTTGGGTGATTTTTTTCAATCCCACTGTACCTCTCCTGTTTCTTCCTTCATCGTGTTCATTCATTCTCTCTAGTTATCTTATCCAAGCATCCCTTGTCTCTTTCTTGTATTTTTAAATTACCTTCATTTCAGTTAATTTATCCGAGTTATTTCAGATCTACTTATTACCTGCTATGCTTTTCCATAACGGATCTAAAGCGAATGTTTTTTTCCTAAATTCACTAGCATAACATTTGTAGCATGTCACATAACAATATTTTTCCAATACAAGCAGAATTGACCCATTTACGATTAGTCTAAGGTTCCTAAAGATAAAAATTACTATTTTGTCACTGTGTTTGCATATATGTTTCCATAACAATACATATATGGCAACCAGATCTCTTTCTTTATAATATTTATATCATTTATAGTTAAAACTACCGCAACACATGTAAGTGCTTTTTACGACAGTATTTTTAATTTTATGATATATCACAATCCATTAAAAAATATAGGTTTGAATCGCTTTCCGTTTCGAACTAAAAATAATGGCGTTTACGGAATTTCAATATTTTTATGAATTCTCAAGCTATAAGGCTGCAGAGTTTTATCTACATATAAGTCTGCATTCTAGCACCATCCCACACAAATTTAATGCGATGTTACACTTTTATGGTAGTGAGTTGAGACAAATTTAATTCATCAAATTTGTGTAAGATGGTTTTGAACAAGACTAACTTATAAAGTATTGTGCTGAGGAAAACGTCTGACTTCACATTTTCTTGGGCTCTTCTAGATCAAGAAGTGTTAACACATTATTTTACCAATACAAAACGCAAACTAAAATTTATTATTGATTCCTTTCACAAAACTGATGACGTCATCCCATAATTTTTATATTTTGTTCATTTTTTCTTAATATTACGTAGTCTTCTTTTCTTTACAAGAAACTAAAAACCTGTTTAAGTATCGTATTGTTGAAAGAAAACTACATTTAAAAAAACATCCCGATTGTGATGAAGTTTTCATTCGTTGTTAGACGGAAGGGCGTAATTAAAAAATACATATTTCCCTACAAAAATTTACTATTTTGGGCAGGTCTTCAGTTTCTTGTTGTGAAACTAAAGCTACATATCTGTAAAAAAAAATATATAAATATAAGTAAAAAACTATCGCGTTTGAGATGGGGCGGGTGGGCGGGGCTTATATTTTGTCCATTTTTTCTTAATATATGTAATCTTCTTTTCCCAACAAGAAAGTGAAAATAGATTTAACTATCGCGTTATTTAAATAAAACTATATACTATATATTAAGAAAAAAAAAAAACGAAACGCCTCGATCTCAATTGTGATAAATTTGTCATTTGTTGACAAACCGAGGGGCGGAGCGTAATTGCAAAATCCATGTTTTTCCACAGAAATTTACCGTTTTGAACACATTTAAAGTTTCTCGTTGTGAAAACAAGACTAGGTATATTACGAAAAAAAGAGCAAAATATAAACCCCGCTAACCCGCCCTATCTCAACTGTGATGATTTTTTTTACTTGTCGTAAGTCGGGGGCGGAGCTTAATTGCAAAATCCTTATTTTTCTACAACAAATTACCACCTGAAATATGTTTTTAAGTAATTGTAATGCTCCGAGAAAACTACATACATATATGTATTGAGAAAAAAAAATCATAGATTTCATGATTCTTTCTTTACTAGTCATTGATTTTGAACTGACTTCACTTCAGTGAAATTTCCTACATACATATTTTCTTACACCGTGTGACTTTATTAAATTTCTGCTCTAGTTGGCCATAATGCATACGTCAGCAGCGAAATTTAAACGGCTGACGTAAGTGTCATGGCCAACTGGAGTAGAAACCTAAAAATCGCTCGATATATTATTGTTACGAAATTTGAAGTCAAAATAATAATTTATCTACAATTCCTTAGATCAAAAATATTTACTTTTTCGATAAAAGTAAAACTGCTAAATTCTGCCATGCTAGGCTCATGTTACGTAAACTTAAAAAATCGACTTTACGTATGAAAAAAAATATATCAAGCTATATTCGTCCTATACTGGGTGTCGGGAAAATGAGTAATCAGCGCTTCGCTACGCTCTTAACAATCAACTGGTGAGTCTGCGAAAAATAGTAAAAAAATCCTTCTCACAGTTTGGTGGAGTTATAATGATTTTAAAATTGGTTCTTTTGCTACGTTTAACAACTAAACAACACATATGTATGGCATTTGCCAAAATCGGTCTTATTTAAGCAGGTACTAGCCCCGCCCACCCTCCCTCTTTTTTCTTAGAGGGTATCTCATTTGCCAAAATCAGTCTTATCTTAGAAGGTACTAACCCCGCCCACCCACCTTTTCTTTTCTTAGAGGGTATGTCATCGGCAAAATCAGTTTTGTCTTACTAAGTAGTGATGACTAACTTTTACAAAAAATGATCGAAATTTGGAAAAATTACAAGCTTACTTATATGCACAAGGCAGGAAATGTTTTAATGGATTTAAAAAATAAATAAATAAAAGGTGGAATTGAAAAAAATACCAAGACCAAATTTCCATAAAAGCCTTACCAAAGTTATTTTAAACTCTGCAGAGCGTTGCGTTTTTAAGGCGTAACACACAACTCAGTTTTCTCAAAAAGAAAATTCTGTATATTTTCATGTCTATGTATATATATATATATCCTGATTGACCTTTTTTGGGGTTTTATAAACATACTTAATTTTGAAAATTCCGATGCAACGTGACCAAGTTATTTTTTAGGAATAAAAGGGTCCACAAAAAAATCGCAACAGGGTTACTTTTAAAATCAGGGTTACAATATTTTATGATACAAATAAAATTGGTTTTAATATACATCAAATCAAATTCAAATATCGATATTTCATACTGAAAAAAGGGAACAAAAACATAGAATAAGATGCAGTAATGAAGTACAGGGTGTTCTAAACTGAAATATCGACATTTGAATTCCCTTTATTTTTTTATAGGCCTCTTATACATTAAATTTTATTTAATTGATACAAAGCGCGGATATCCGACTTGGAATCACGTGGCAAGCAAAAATAAACTGTTGTTATAAAAGCTTACGAAGAGGCTAACAAGAATTTGTTAAAAAAATTGGTAAATGACTGAACATTATTAAGAGTAATCACTGGAATGAAGAAGGGGTGGGTGGGCGGGGCTATTGCTTACTTATAAAAGATTCTGGGGTGAATTTTTCATTATTTTAATTAAAAAATGTACTGTAGAGACTCCTTTGCGAAATGACGTAAGACCAGAAACGATCGGGTCACGTGCCGTTATAATGTCGCTTGTAGAAGGGTCGACGA